CCCCAAAACCCCAAAACCCCAAAACCCCATGACTGTTAAAATAAATTGAATAAATCTCTAATTCCAATTTAAATAATTTATATGTCTTTAAAGCTCTTCACAGGATATTCTGCCCAGTCAACATTCTCTTTCTGTTCTTCTATCAATCCCACTTTCGAGAAGCTTTTGTCTTTCTAGACATGAGTCAAGTCAAAATTACCGTCACAGTTTCATGTTTAGCTGACACTTCGTTCTCCTGTAAAGTGTCAATTCCAAGAATTGTCGCTGCTGAAAATTAATTGTGAAGCATACCATCTTTGCTGAGTTGTTCTCTGCTAACTTCTTTGAGTTTGCTGATTAAGTTCTCGATCTTCTCGCTAAAAACTGTTGCTTCTGGCTTCACCAACAGGAGGCATGTCAACTTTAAATCAGACTTTAGGCATACCTGGAGTCATTGGGCTGATTTCGACTCTGCTGTTGTATCTGACACCGACTCTGGCGTCGAAGCCCATGAGTAGAATCTGGTGTTCGCTCAGCACCAGATGCATCATCGTCTTAAGCTGTCGGATGGACCTCAGGATCGAAGGCAGGTCGCATTCATCGCTACAAGTCACAAGAGAGCTTACCTGAATCTATCGCTGAGAGCTGTGAACTGACGCTTGGACTTGTTGGCTATGAACGGAATGCACGACTTGATGTATTCTTTAGCTGTAAAGTTGTATCTTCTTTGAAAACTGAGCTTGTGTTTGACCTTTTGCAGTAAGCCAGAGTCTTGCGATTTATTTACACTCAGAGTCATTGGACTTGTTGAAGTTGATCGAACTTGAGTTGCTATTGTTCTTTGAAATGTATTCTTTACTTATTTCATTATCAGGTACTTTAGATTTTGGAGCAACCTCAGCATTTATGGATTTCTCATTTAAATCTCTTTGATCGACACAATACAGCTTGTTAAACATCGAGTAATTGTAGAGTTTGCTTGAAAAGTGATTGACAATGATTCCACCTAAAATGACAAGGATTTCAAAGAATCCACCGAGCTGGCCAGAGAAATCCAGAAATGTGTAGACTCTTCGCTCATATGAATCAACAATAGGGTCTTGCTCAAGCAAAATTCGGATCAAATTCGTATCACTGCTATCTTTTTCAAATTCAAAGTCATTATATCTTGTACTTAAAGAAAAGAAGGTGCTCTCTTCTGTATTACTAAAGGGTAATATACTATCCATTATAAAGATACCTTGTTCTTTCTGAGAAACAGGCCCATTGTTTTTACGATTCCTGGAGCCATAGAAAGATAATTCCTTTCATCTAAAACTCTCTTAACAGGCTCTGAGTAATCCTCAAAGTCAAAATATTTAGTGCTGATGACTAAGAATACTGAAGATATTTTTGCCTTTGCATTTATGACACTTAGTGGCTGACAAATGATTGATGTGCCATTAGCTCATTTCTTCACAGATATCTCAACAGCTTTAGTTTCATCTTCTTGGTATGGGCTCCCTCCAACCACAAAGTCAGATCTTTCAGGACAATACGAAACATTATTTAAAAGCCCCGCTTAGGGAATCTATGAGAGGATTTACTTTTGGGTATCTATCCCCTCAAATGGAAATTGGGTAGCTTTTGTTTGAATTTATGAATTTATATGTACTTTCATCGTATTTATCAATCATTTGGGTCACTGTCACATTGAAATACGTAGGATCTGCTATTGATTCAAAAGCTTCACGGTCAATAATATGCACAGCGAAGGATAACTCAGAAGAGTCGAATGAGTAGTACTCTGAATTAGTAACATGATCTTTGAGAATACTGTTCTTTGATTTTGAAGTTGCAGACCTTGTAAACATCTGAATGGATAGGATGATCCCATATCAAAGTAGAAAAGTGGTTAATCCTAATGTAACAATCCCTCCATAAAGAGAACCGAAAGAATGCTGTCTTTTATAGGTCAAACTGATGGGCTTGGAGAACATATCAACCGCCTTGAGCTTTGATCGAGGCCACTCTAATAATATCCTTTTCATTTTATTATAATTCAAAATTAAAATCTCAGGTTGGGGTTTTGGGGTTTTGGGGTTTTGGGG